GAGAGAGAGAGAGAGAGAGAGAGAGAGAGAGAGAGAGAAAGAGCCTAAAGACAGAGAGATAGAGAGGCAGAGAGACAGAGATAGACAGACGGAAACAGGATCGAAAAACAGAAAATATGTAGGCTATATGTCTAATGCACGTGTCCGAGTGTGGCTTGTTTTAAATTTCGGAGGGGATGGGGCATGCTAACAGCAAGACTTTATTTTTTAAATAGCATTCAAGTATGAGAGCAAACAAAAGCAATAAAAAGGTAACTGCTTCTGAATTTAAGTGATGAAAAGAATTCTCGAGGGTTTCGTTTTCCCTGCTACGACAGCAGCAGTCTATAGCAAGGAAGTTGCACGGTAGAGTGGTTTTAGATAAATTATATAACCGTCGCCGTGGTTCAGAATGTTGACATTTCTTTTTGAGTCCTATATTCTCCTCGCGGACAAATTCCCACTTTCGTGTAGTCCTACACGAAAATTGCAAGTCTTATTGTCATTAGAATAGTATTTCAATAATGCGCTAAAACGCAAGCGCTAAAATGCAAACGCTAAATTGTACATCATCAAATGCGAAATGAAACAAACTTTGGTTGTTCCACCCCCCCCCCCATCTCTCTCCTGAAAAGTTCGTTTGAAGGCTCTCGTAGCCTAGATGTTAAGGTGTTCGCCTCTCGTTCGATAGTGACGGAACATTACAATGTTCTTTTCAAAATTTTTCTCCTTTTACATCCTTTCCTGCTCTATAACAATATTCTGTCGTCTGCTTTCGTCTCCTCTTTCTACCCCAACCCCCTCACTCCCTTTGCCCCCCTTCTCTGAGCGCCAGACTCTTTCTACAGCCTTTCTACTGCTGCTACTCCTTGGCTCCTTCTTATAACTTCTTACTGCTGTCTTCCAGCCACCCCGCCCCTGATACTAAGGTAGGAATTAGATAAACACCTGTCACCTAAATCTATAGCCTTCTCGAACAAGGGCAAAAAAATCTCAGAAGCCTGTGCGTAAGTTGCGCACGTTAAAGATCCCTCGAAGGTCTAAAAATCGATAAGGGTAAGAGTAGGCTTCGGCGGCCACCGGGGTAAAAGTCGAAATTTCCTACGTACTGAAAATATTTAATAATGTGTCCCGAGAGAGAGAGAGAGAGAGAGAGAGAGAGAGAGAGAGAGAGAGAGAGAGAGAGAGAGAGAGAGAGAGAGAGAGAGAGAGAGAGAGAGAACACTTTGTGGTCATCTCACTCGTCATTAAAACCACAGTTGTGTCTCTATCTGCCTTGAATATCTGAAAAGGGTTCACACTGTTCGAAAGACTTTTTGAAAATCATTAATATATTTTTTAAAATCAGTTATGTGTCAGCGCACAGCCCAGCGATGCTGCGTCTACTCACCATTCCACACAAATGACGTGTCCTCCATGCCAGCGTGATCTTATACATGATTATGAATACAGTACTTATTGTGAATGTTTCAGACGGGATACAGCCGAAGCGACCAGGCTCATAAAAGATCCAAATTGCGTCAATGGGGGCATGAAACAAAAATAACAAAAGTACGTCCAATCACGACACAAACACACACACACACAC